TTGGATTACACCATGCAGCGGGGCACCACTCACCACCACCAGAACGACACGGCGCTGTTCTACGACCAGATCAAGTCCAAATTACAGTTGGATTTCAACAAGAACCAGCTCGTCGAGAAGCTTCGGAGGCTCAAGAAGAAATATCGCAACGTTATTGGCAAGATTAGCTCCGGTAAGGACTTTAATTTCAAAAGCCTTCACGATCAAGCCACCTTCGAGATTTCTCGCAAGATCTGGAGCACTACCGGCCGAATTGGAGTCGATGACAATGCCTTGGACGACGACGAGCCCGCCCCGACTCTATATCCCAACTACATGGACCACAGAAACGAAGAATTGATCGGGAATTGCGCAGAGAAAAAACCGACGCCCACTCCGAAATCGCGGAAGCGTTCGCGGCCTGGAGCAGGATTGAGAATCGACGGGCCTCGTGCCTCGAATGAAAATTTGAATAAAGAGAAAAACAGTACCTACAACAACGATAATGTCAATAACGTAGCGGTAGCGGGATTGATCGAGGAGACGGTCAGGAGCTGCCTGTCGCCATTGTTCAAAGAATTGTTGAATACTTCCATGGGAGGAGGGCTTTGTGGAGGCAGAGGGTTCAGCGGGTTGGCTTTGCACCCGATTCCATTGAGCTTCGGTGGGCCTTCAATCAATTTCGGAGGTGGGGGAGAAATGGCGGACGAAAGGTGGAGGAAGCAGCAGATTTTGGAACTGGAGGTTTATTCGAAGAGGTTGGAGTTGGTTCAGGAACAAATCAAGACGGCATTAGAAGACTTGAGGTCCATGGGAGGCTGATCCGAGGACTGAATCTTGATGAACATGGAGGACTTTGTAAGTGGCTTGCCTTTTTCTTTCCCTTTTCTTCTTCAAAATTAGTTTGGCCTTTAATCATCTGCGGTGATTGATAGTGTACTTAGTGGCTCCTTTGGTTAATTTGGTAGAATAATTGTAAAAAATAACTTATAATAAAAAAAAAACACCCATTTACCAATGTGTTGATAACATAGTTATGACTCAATTGATCATCATCATTCTCCAGTTTGTTTTCATTGATGAATGTAGTTAGCTAAAAGTTCTGAGATTATATATTCTGTGTTTAAGTTCGTCTGAACTCAGTGGACCTCTGATAGTGGCTTTGAATCCTGAAAATTAACAGAAGGAAGTGTTCAATTTCCATACCCATTTCCCTTTTGGATGATGTTTCACTCTTCTGTTAAGAGTTATTGTTTCCACAATTTTCTTTGTTCCTTAATGGCAGACTGGAGAAATGTTCTGCTTCTGCATAAGGATTTTATTAAAATCATTTTACAGGTGTTGTTTTTAAATTTTAGTAAGCATATGCTCAACTGTGTTCAAAAGTTGTGTTCTCTTACTTTTCGTTTATTTGGTCTAGATTCGAGTTATAATAATAGTTACTTATGAGGACTACGTAGTCTTGGGAGCGTTGAAGCTTGCTTCTTCTCCAGAGTTTTCTTGGTCATCAAATACGATTTATTTAACCAGTTGAGCTTTGCTCAAGTTGGACAAGAAATTGTTGTTTGAGAATCACTGAGTTTATGACTAAAGTCACCAGATCACAAATTATTATGCAGCATAGACTGTGGCTAATATTATTTTCTGCTCAAACTTACATGTGAATGACATTCTAAGAGGATGCTGCCTAATTTTCAAGGAATGGATACAAGTTTTAGCACATTTGGTTTTCATTCCTAGAGATGTGTTTTTCTCCTGCTGGCTAGAATGGGCATTGCTGATTTGATTTGATAGTCTAAATGTTGATAATTGATCATTGTGATGTGATTCAGTGGCTCTGAACTTTTTTCTCTGCTTAGAGTTTAATGCATGGAGGTGGGATTCGAACCAACGACCTTTTTTGGTCGATGATATATACCTTAATCAATCGAACCATGCTTCGATTCAGGTTCGGTGGTTCTGAATTTGGTTGCATATTATTGCTGAAGATTTAGATTATGATGGGTCTTATAAACATTATTTGAAAGGTGGTCCACTCCTGGTTACGATTAAAGTGATTATTGTGAAAGCAGTTGAAAGTGGTGCTTTTTTATATAATGAATAAAACAAAGTTTATTAATTATTATGATGTTTTGCTAAGAAATGCTTTCTGTAATGTCTTGCCTTGAGTGGATCCATCGTCTCCATTTTGACTTCATTATAATATTTTCCTGTTATTGAGACGACATTAATAGGAATCTTGATTTGATTCATTGATTTGGAAATTCTTTTTTGTTTTCTTTTTTCTTTTGGAGTAGGCTTGGTTGGAAACCGATTGAGTTTTGCTTAGATTGTTAATTTATTTGGGATTAAAAATTTAAATTTGCGGTTATTTTTATTGCACTCTCGAACCATCTCACTTTTTTGAAGGGAGGGTTATCTCGCGAGTTTCTTTTAGTTCAACAGTTACTAGGGCGGAGATCAAACTCTCAAATTTTGTGATGATTCTAAGTTCTTATCTATTGAGCTATGTTTGGATCGATAATATCTTGTGAGTTGTGTCGCAAAATTCCTTTTTTTGTTTTTGTGTCAAAATAATAAAATAATTAATTATTCTTGATCCCACCGACCAAATATCTCTATTCTTGTTTTTAATTTTTTTTTCAGTTTATCGTAACATTTGTTTTTAGATTTATTACATAAGTAGTATGAATTTATAAATTTTATTCTATATTAAAATAACTAAAGAAAACTCTATTAGTATATTAAAGGGTTTGTGATATCTAATCCATAGAAATATATTATATATTATTATTATGTTGCGATGGTGATTGTGTCATCTAGAAAGAGGGAATCATGAGTCAATTTTTAAAAGCAATTTAGAATTAGAAAGAAATGAAGTTAAAACAAAGATTCATTTTATCATTTATACCAATAATTTATTCTAATTAATAAGAGCTAATTGGGTGCTTGTTAACATTCTCCACTCCTCACATTACTTAAATAAAAGGAGGGTTTAATTTTTTTTTTCTTTTTGGGTTCAATAATAAAAGAAAGTTGAATTATAAATTTGATATCTAATTGTGGTAATTAGGTCTACTAAACTTAAAAAAAGTTTAAAGAAAAACTCAATTTTTTATCCTTGTACTTGGTTCTATTTATTCATTTTAAAGTTAAATTTTTAATTTTATCAAATTAAACTTTAAATTTGAAATAATTGTAAGACTCAACAAATAAATTCAATGAAATTCGACAACAAAATACTCATGATCAAGCAACATAAATGTCCAAATTCAACCATGAAAATGCTAAGTTCAGCAACAAGCTTTGGTAGGCTTTTTTTTTTTTTTTTTTCTCTTTTAAGCACACAAGCTTAAGTAGTTAAAAAGTGAAGTCAGCAATAAAATTTTATATCTCAAAAAATAAATAAATAAAAATATTCTTGTATTATCCTTTGTTGGCCATACCGATAAATAAAAACGGTTATCGGTATGGCAATAAATTTTTCAAAATCAAACTAAAACGCATCCAACCTGATTACAAGAATCAATTCCGACGAAAATAGTATTGTCCAGCTTTAAGTAGACAATTTTGGTGCCAAAGTGAACATAGCACAGCAATAATTGATATATATCTCCAACCAAGAGATTGTGAGTTCGATTCTCGTTGCTTGTAATAATAATTAAAGGAAAAAAAAGTATACAATTTTGGTAACCATTCTTGCATGAAGTATAAAAATTTTGGTATTCCTGTTCTCGTTGGTAGTCTTTCAAAAATATAAACAAACATTTTATTTTATCATTTTCTTTTATGAATTTTGGTAACTTTTTTTTGTTTGTTGGACAATTAGAGCAGTGACTATATTAAATGCCTAACTTGAAAAATGGCCAAAAGAATCCAATATCGTAAAAATAGCTAATTAGAGTTGAAATGCTAAAATTTAATGTGGACAAATATACCCTCAAGCTAAAATTATCCTACAATTATCCCTAAAATTTTAAAATAGTAAATTAAAATATTAAAGTTCAAAAATTCAAAAATAAAATCGATCTAGATTCAAAATTTTAAAATTTCTTAAAACGTGAAATCTATTAAATGAATACTTTGAAATAAAAATATATTAAGAGATAGAAGAATATGAAAAATATCGTATCAAAACATAAAAGCAATGCAGTAAAGTGGAAAATGATTAAAAAAAATTGAAAAACCAAAAATATTGTTAGAGGATAATTAATATGGTGGCAGTTATGGAAGGGGTAGCTAGATTGGGGGACACAAAACGTTTCCTTCTTCCCCAATTTCTTTTTCTTTTAGCTTCATTCTTACCCAATCGCATGCCCTAACTCCATTCTTCTAGCTCCCTTCGAATGCACACACCGCACCCATCCATGTCTTGCTTATCGCACTACCTACAAAAGGATAAAGCTTTCGGGTGAAGAACTCAACGCCTCCAGACCTTGACAAGAATGGCTGTCTACAAGGGTATGTACTCCATGCTAGCGACTTATTTGAAAGTTCCTCCTTTCTTCTTCCAAATTTTTTGACTGCACTGCGATTCTTCCCCCAAAATTTGCTTCGATGATACATTTGTCGCTCTTTAATTCCTTGAATATTCCTTAAATAAACAACATTTAAATAATATAACATCATTTTTTTAGTCCGTAACAAGCTTCCTATTTTGAGGGGATTTTGTTGGACACAAATGATTCAATGTAGGACCGGTGGTCGCTGGGGAGACACTTGCGATTTTAATGTCATTGCATAAAGAACCTTCTTCAATTCTTACTTATTTTGAAAAACACAAATTCTTGCAACAATAAATTTGAGGGAGCATAATCAAAATCAATAGAGTCTATAAAGATAAATTTCTTTTCCATGAGGTAATTAACTACGTTATGAGTGATGTCCGTACTTCGCTGCCCCGTAGATGGTGGTATATACGGGGTCATCACAACTATGCAACAGTCGCTGCACATGACATCCAACAAAATGACCCACTCCACATCCCTGTCTACTGATAGACTCGTAATGATTGACTTGCTCGCACCATTTCTGAATAATGAAAGGTGCGTAATTTTCTTTTCTTCTAAAAATGAAGATCTCTATAGATGCATGTAATGAGTTGTTGTAGGCTGGAATCGAATGAAATTGAAACGTGTCCAGTACTGAAACCTCGATAAATTGTCCTGGTCCTCCTAGATTCCATCATGTAAAACTGTGGCTACAAGCGATTGCATAGTATTCCTGCGTTGCTTGATTTAAATTCTCAAACAATGTAACAAAAATCAGGTAATTGACGAAACTCGTTTAAGAATATTTAAGAGGGTGATTTTTGTGGAATTTATTAACGAATTCATTAGGTTTGTTATACATTTTAATTAGATTATGTTGGAGACAAATTAATAATATGTTAAAATAGTTTGAATGATATTAGGAATAATAATTGGTTAGAACGAAATTCAAAATAGGTAGATTTGACGATTTGATTAGGTAGAGTTTTAGTAGTTTTGGTACGTAGAGTGAAATGTGTGTGGGATAAATATGTAATTATACCTTTCTCCTAATTTACAGGAATTTTAATTTATTTGGGTATGAAAAACAAGAAATGTTACCTTATATATTTCTACTTCTTTTTCCAATAATAATAGAAAAATAAACAATTATCGAACTTTAAAAAAAACATTTACTAAACACTATTTATTATTCTTTCATGAAAAAAAAAAAGAAAAGAAATAAGAAACATGAAAGAAAAACATCAACAAAGAAGACCTAATTAATTAATGGAAAATCATAATAGGTGGCATGTAAGTAAATAATTGGCCGAAGAAAAGTCTCTTAAAAAAGCGTTTTTCTTTTAATGAAAATTGTTGTGAATAAATGACTTGAAATCTCTTTTTAAAGAAAACAATTTACAACCTATAAAAAAAGAAATAATAGTATGTTGGAGTTAGACCCCCACTACCACAACGACGTAGGCTCTGTCACTTTGGGCAGACCTTAGGCGGGCAGCCCTCTCCGATGTGCAATGGAGGTCATCAGCCTAAGCCATGGGCCTTCTTGATCGCCCATTGGCCCCGTCCAGGTAAGTATGTCAAATCGGTCCCCTCGTACCCGCCCCCCCAAAGCTTTCCCATGTGGGACAAATAAAGTACCCTCTGACTTCTCCTGCGCTCTCTTTGCTCATCCGAAACAACAAATGTTTAACTTCTTTTTTTATTTTCTCATCTTATTAAGAAATAAATGGGGAAAATATTAACAAAAAACGAATTAAAAAAAAGAAAAAAATTGAATAAAATCATGACAATAGTTCCATATGTATTCCTTCTCTTGCAAGATCTCTGATGTCGCAACGTCATCGCGACGCGACCAACGTCATTCTTTGAAGGGTCTCTTTCGAGAGAAGGGTTTGGAGTCGCCACCAATCACATCATTTACGAGGTGCGATTGGTCACCTAAAAATAAAGACAAGGTCTGCGAAAACAGATTGTTGGTTCGGGAGTTTACTGAGCGTGGTATTAGCACCATACTACACCCGTACCACATTTTGTCAAAAGTTATTCTATTATTTTTTTTTGGTCCAAAGAAAAATGTTTTTATTTTATTTTAAATTTCTCATATTATATTAATTCACATTTTGTAATAAAATATGAATGTATAGGTATGAGTGGCACGAACGCCATTAGAAAAATTTTGACAGAATACTGGAAGATTCCAATTCCAGTAGTTTTTGAAATAATTATTTAGAAAAAAAAATCAATAAAAAGTCATTTTAATTTTAGAGAACATCCAAACTTCAACTTGCAACATGAGTGTTGACATTAAAACAATATATTAAAAATCAAACATCTTACCACTATGCCAACATTTAAGATGTAAATATTATATTCGTTTACACAAACAAAAGTTTTAATTTATTTTTTTAAACTAAAAAAAACCTACGAATTTTGTTCAATTAAAACAAAAAATAAATAATTTTTTTATTTATTTCGAAATTAACAAGATTATTTAAAAGAAAAAAAACTTTTATTTAAAAATAAAGTAAAATTTAGTTTAACAAAACTTATTTGCTAAAACTGATTTTTTGTTAAGATTCTTTTGAAAACCATAATCACCAAACCATTAAAAGAAAATTTTTAAAAA